AAATTATAATTTTTGATAGCACAAGCGTATCTGTATTTTTACTGTGTGTTAACTAGAAAACTTATCTCACACATTTACCTGTCTTCCTATCTGACTTCGCTGTACATTCTGTTTAGTTTGTTTTCCTTAACACCCGTTGGGGAATCCAGGCTTAACACTTACCACACATTATTGCTTCTCCCCACAAAGTTTCAGGTAATCCTGAATCCGACAACATAGTACGAGCCATTGCCTGTATTGTTTGGCCTCGTCTTTCTATAAAGGAATTATGTTGTGGCCTATATGGTGCAGACTTTTTATGTTCAACACCTGCCATCTTCAGTCTATTTTGGAATTTATTATTTATAAATTCCGTACCATTATCAGTTACAAGAGTTACTAGTTTCCTTTTAGTTTTTCTTTCTGCAAACTTTAACCAATTAAAGAAATTCTGATATGTTTCCGTTTTACTCTTCATTAAATAACAGAAACCATATCTAGAATAATGATCCATTATGCTTAGTATATAACGAGCACCTCCCACACTTGGTTTTTTAGGACCTATAATATCAGCAAATACGACCTCTAGGGGTTCTTTTGTCTTAAATCCATTTATTCTATTTGCTGGTATTACCTTGCTTTTTTCTTGACTGCAAGCATTGCAGTGCAAATACTTACTGCAAGGCTTCAGTTTTATACCTTCAGACAGTTCAACCGTTTGCTTGAGCATTTTAAAATTTATATGCCCTAAACGTCTGTGTAACAAATGTATGCATTCATCATGAGGTTTAATGATATTATAAACTGTGTTAACTACCTCTAATTGATTATCATTTAACACATACAATTCACCTTTTAAAGTTGCAGTCACTTTTTTACCTTCCTTTTCTATTATGCAGTTTTCTCCCCTAAAGGTAACTATATAAACTAGTTTAACCAAAAGTCTAACCGAAAGCAAATTAAACTTAAGTTGTGGTACATATAACATTTTTACATTTTCTTTTATGCAAGAACAATGTGCAATACCTTCACCTTTTGCTTTCATTTTCCAGCCATTAGCTAATGATATCTGCTGTGAACTCGTGGACATCTTAACAAACCTTTTCTTATCTTTCGTTATGCAGTGTGATGCTCCACTATCTACAACCCATAAATTATTATTCACAGTTTCATTGCTATACATGGCTAACTCTAAGCATTTTTCATCCTTTTGATGCCTTTTAGCATTCTGGCTGGCATTGTGGCGTTTTCCTTTCTTGCAGAATCTAGCCAAATGTCCTTTTCCTCCACAATTAAAACATTTTCTAATTGTATAGGCTGTCGTAGATTCTTTATCTTCTTCTTTTGGTTGTTCCCTTCTGAGTTGATCCCTTTCAAGCCTTCTCCTGGCTTCTTCAATTAATCTGCCAGTAATGTCAGTTAATGTGAGGTTATCTTTTGGCGGTACTTCCAGTGAAGTTACATAGTCGTCATAGCTCTCATCTAACGAAGACAAAATTATATAAACCTGATGTAGTTCTGTGAAGATAAGTTCTTTTTCATGCAGTTCCTGAAAAATTCTCTTCATAGTGTTTAAATGAGTCAACATGTCTCCATTCTTTTGAAGATGTGTTCTGAACAGTTTCCGTGTAAGATTTATATGTGCTCCTACACTGTCTCAAACATAAATCTTCTTTAAATTCTCCCAACATTTCGCAGCTGTTTCTTCTCCACGAATATGGACAAGCTGCTGGTCACAGAGTGTCAGTCCTATTATACAGAGAGCTTGCTCATTCTTCAGTTTATATTCTTGTATTTTCTGGGCATCATCCTCATCCTCCGGATCCCAAGCATCTACCTCTGGTGGGTTTTGAATTATACTCCACAAACCTTCTCTGGGTAGAAGTAGGCTGCATTTCATAGACCATGAAACATAGTTTGTTCCATCCAGTTTGGATATTAGAGACAAACTTTGTAAATTGACTTGTGCCATCTTTTTCTGGATATTAAACTATAATTAATAAAACACAGCTGTCTGTTTACAGTATTGTGTAACTACACAAACTCTCACTTTATATAAGCCTGTTATATCCTGGTTAGTCTGACTGTGCAGCTGGGCCCATAACCAGTGTTAGGGATATACACCCTAGCAGAATCTGCACGGCAGTCAGGCAGGCAGGCAAATATGTGAGACAAACGGTTTTGTAGCTTACACTCAGTAAAACAGATACACAGTGTTAGTTAAATAGTTTATTCCAGTAATAGTTTTAGCATAGTCAAACAGTCCATATATCATACACTAGTTCAGTCCGTCCGGGGATTATTCAGTTGCAAAGTCCAGTGTCGAAAAAGAGGTCAGTAAACTTACAAATATCAGTCCAGCAATATATCTCTTCGCAGTAGAGATATGAAGACGTCAAACCTCTTTTCTTCCTTCAGCAACAGCAGAGAAAAACGCAGTTATTAAACCATCAATCCATTATCGTCAGCAAGCAATCCAGTAAGCCAGCAATCAATCCAGTTCTCTTGCTCCCTCTTATGGCGATTTACAGCCGCACCCAAAATTACATGCTTTGCAGTTAAAGTGACACACACTTAAATTCACTATCATAGTTTATATATATTATTTTACCCAAACTACGTTAGGTAACTTTTTTTTTTTCCTAACAGTACTGATGAAAAGGTGATTAAAAAATTGTATGGTTACTTATTGGAAATTAAACTAGAGGAAGAACAAGTTAAAGAAACTATGATTGCTTGGGGGAAGAATTTTGGATATGGGATTGATTTAGAAAAATGGCAAAAATTGTGGTCTCAAAATTATAAAATGACAATGTCAACAGCATATAAAGAAAATTTGTATAAGATGTTTTACAGGTGGCATTTCCCCCCGACAAGAATTGCAAGAATGTTCAAGAATAAATCTGAAAAATGTTGGAAATGTCATCAGATACCTGGCTCATATTACCATATGTGGTGGACTTGTGAGGACGCTAGAAAATACTGGGCTAAAATACGCATGTGGTTGGAAAAAATGACAAAGAAACATATAGACTTGAAACCAGAGATTTTTTTATTGGGAATTTTACCTGATACATACAGTAAAGATTTAAAATATTTGATTGTAAATGTATTAACAGCGGCTAGGATTGTATTTGCTAAAAACTGGAAAAATGAGAAAATACCATTACAGGAGGAAATTATTAAGAAAATATTGGAATGTGCTGAAATGAGTAGATTGACATTTGAAATTAGAGAACAAGAAGATAAACAATTTTATAAAATTTGGGACCTTTTCTATCAATGGTTAGATAATAAAATATAATAATAGAATACTTAGAATTTTAGAATATAATGAATATATAAAGATGTATTTCTTCTTTTGTTATTATATCTATAAAATGTTTCTAGGATAGATTTGGGGACGATTATATGAATTGTTATAAAATAAACTGAGTAAATTATAGTTATCTCGCAAAGTATCAATAAACAAAATTATAGTCAAATGACTGATTAATAGTGATACTGGGGTATTCAATTTCTGATTGATAATATGAGTTATTATGCAATGTAACTGTAATTGAGACTATGAAATGGATGCACAAAAAAATTGTAAACCAACCGACACACTGTTTGTACATTTATGAAAGAAAGTTGGATGTTTTTATGTTTTGTTTGTTTTTATTTGTCTTTAAAAACCAATAAAACTTTGTTAGGGATATACACCCTAGCAGAACGTGCAACGGCAGTCTAGCAGGCAGGCAGATATGTGAGACAAAACGTTGTAGTAGCTTACACTCAGTAAGACAGATACACTGTGCAAGTTAAATAGTTTTTATTCCAGCAAGAGTTATAGCATAGTCAAACGGTCCATATGTCATACACTAAGTTCAGTTAGTCCGGGGGTTATTCAGTTTGCAAAGTCCAGTGTCGAAGAAGAGGTCAGTAAACTTACAATCAATCAGTCCAGTGATATATCTCTTTTGCAGTCAGAGATATGAAGAAAAATCAAACCCCTTTTCTTCTCTCAGCAAACACGCAGTTAACACCATCAATTCATCATTGTCAGCATTCCAGTATAAGCCAGGGTAAACAGTGAGCTCTCTTGCTCCCTCTTATGGTGATTTTACAACCGCACCCAAAAACTTGGTTTACAGTTTAAAGTGATACATACACTTAAACTCACTAACATAGTTTATATATATTATTTTTACTCAAACTAAGTTAGGTAACCAATGTTATCCCTAACAAACTTGTTTTTTTAAAAAAAAAACATAATTTGATCACTGTTACCTGTTGTTGTGGTGTGGAAGACGAATAAAAAACTTCACTAAAGCTACAGGAGTGAGTTGATATCTTATCGTTCAACCCCTCAATCTCGGACGAACAGCTGACAAAGAAAGTCAGCTCGTCCCCTTCACAAAGTCTAATCCCTCCGGAGGCTTCCGTTCCTTTGGAATCCTAGGAGTAATGAACTATGGCTGAAGGTAAAGATGGGGAGGATGAATTGCAGTTGGAGACCGGAAAGGAGGAGGAGGAGAGCCAGCTGGGAGCCGACAGCACTAGTGTTGTTGCGGGTAATATTCCACCCGGTGAAGAAATGGGAGGTTCGGACAGAGGAACCGATGACAGTTTGCAAAAGGTAGTGCGACTAAAGATGTGGCCAGGAAGGAGGAGCGGGTTTGACTTAACAGAGGACATGGGGTTTCTTCGGAGTAAACCTCCTACCCAGGTTCCTGCACACTCTGACACCTTTGAGAAGTGGAGAGAAAGGAGAATAGGTGAGGGAGACGAATGGAGCACATCCCCATCCAGCCTTGGAGCTAGTACTCTTGAACTTCTCCATGTAAAATATGGGGAATTGAGTATCAGCAGCCATGATACAAAACATCATTGGGGAAGCAGCACGGAGAACACTTCTTTCTTTAGTTCTCTACCCCGGGATGAAAGAGACCATATCCATAGAAGAACAACACATGACTTTTCAGCCGGGTTTGATTCCTCGCTTGCAGAGGTGGTGGGAGGTTCAGAGCCCAGAAGAAGAGGAGCCACACACATGACGTCTAGCGGCGAATGTTCAGAGTCCTTACCTCGACGTAAACCACAAGAAGAGACTTGGGGATTCCCCAGAAGGACTGGCCACTGGGAACAGTGCATGGTATGGGGTCCACCCCCACTGCAAACTTCTTTTGATGGAAATCCCGATCGTATAGCTTTATTTCTTAGCCAAGTAGTAAATCATTTGGAATTATATGCAACATATTACCCCTCCCAATGGTCAATGATAGTAGCAATTACTGGGGTGTTAACCGGAGATGCAGCAGACTGGGTGGCAGAGTTGCATAGTGCCCATGCTAAAGAATTGATTGATGTAGGGTTATTCTTGGATTCGCTTCGTAATCAATTCGAGGATAAGGCTAGAGTACACCAGACTGAGGAAGCAATAATGACATTAAAACAGAATGGAAGACCAGCTATTGAATACGTCAGGGAGTTCAGACGATTGGCTGGGAAACTGAGAACTTGGCCAGAATGTCTATTGATTAGGGAATTCAGGGCCGGTTTAGATAGAGGTTTACGACAGGCTTGTCTCTACAGGGGTGTGCCCCAACAAATAACAGACTGGTATAAAACTGTTGTTGAACTAGACGTAGGGTTGAAGGAATTTAGAGAGAAATCCAAAGGTCCAAGAAGGACCGGTCCAGTTGGAACTAATGTGGGAATAGGAAGGGGTGTACAAGGAATTGTGACCAACAATAACAGGGGTCATTTAAACCTAAGGTGTTTTCGTTGTCACATATTAGGACATAGGGCGTTTGAATGCCCTACGATAGATACAGGACGTATGAAGCAAACAGCAAGGGGTCCTTCCGGAAATGTTTTACAAATTGGATATAGTGGCAGGGGAGTTAGTAGTCGTGAAAAATCACAGGGTGTCACACAACAAGAACCATCCGTAGCTCCGGCCACACGAGAGATGAAGCAATACAGTGAATTGTGGCAGCCGAGAGTTGTGTCAGGACTGTATGATAGCGGTGACAACAGCCAAGAAGACACCATGGTAAGCTCTCCTGTTAGACCATTTATAATACCCATAGTATTAGATAATGTAGGGATTAGAGGCCGATATGGAGCATTGATAGATACCGGATGTACCAGATGTCTGATTAGTCAACGTGTGGTAGATGAACTGCATGTACCATTAGAACCCCTTCCTACCCCCATGAAGTTCGAGCAGGTTGATGGGTCATTGTTAGGGGGAGTGCCGGCTCTGATGATGACCGTTCCTATTCGATTAGAAATTGGAACCCATTGGGAACAATTACGATTCATTGTGGTATCGGAAATGCGAGAGGCGGTTATTTTAGGTTTAGTATGGTTGGATCGTTGGAAACCCACCATTTGGTGGGAAGGTGGTTTTAGACGGCTGAGACTTACTATAGGACCAGAACCGCCACAACAAGAACCAGACGTACAACAGCAGAGTTTAAGGGTGGAGCCCATTAGTTTACTAGATGAACATAGTAGTTCCTCTTTTCCATCAGTTTATCAGGATTTGGCGGAAGTATTTAGTGAGAAAAAGTGTGAGATTCTACCACCGCATTGCCCAACGGATTGTGCTATCGAACTGATTCCAGGGGCAAAATTGCCAAAACCCCGAATGTATGCAATGACACTGAAAGAAATGACAGAAATACGGAACTTTCTGGACAAGAATTTAGCTTGGGGATTTATTAAAGCCAGACGATCGCAAATAGCTGCCCCTGTACTATTCCGAGAAAAAAAAGATGGTGGCCTACCTTTGTGTGTTGATTTTAGAAGACTTAACGCGGTCTGCGTTAATAACCTGTACCCGTTACCATTAATCAGTGAGTTGTTGGCTACCCTATCAACTGGACATTTCTTTACCTAATTAGACTTGTGCGAGGCATATTATCGAGTGAGAGTAAGACCTGAGGATGAATGGAAAACAACATTCAATTGTCCCCTCGGAAGCTATCAATTCCGAGTAATGCCTTTTGGATTACAAGGGGCCCCCACGGTGTTCATGCAACTTATTAATAGTGTACTACAGGAACATTTATACCGTGGGGTGCTAGTATATTTGGGTGATATACTTATTTACACAAAAACTATGGAAGAACACATCCAATTGGTGAGGAGTGTATTAACTAAATTATTGAATGCCAAATTACATATGAAATTATCTAAGTGTGAGTTCCATTGTACGAAACTAGACTACCTGGGATATAGAATCTCTAATGCAGGATTGGAGATGGATCCCATGAAGGTAAAAACTGTAATGGAATGGAAAATCCCACAAACAAGAAGACAGGTACAAAGTTTTTTGGGCTTTGCAAACTTTTATCGACAATTTATACCTAAATTTGCCCACATTGCACTGCCATTAACTGAGTTGCTAAAAACAAAGAAACAAACAGAAAACCCAAAGCCAAATCAACCAGTTAAATGGTCGGACCAATGTCAACAGGCCTTTGAAACATTGAAATCGTTATTCTCTCAAGCACCCATTTTGCGACATCCTGATTCAACGAAGAAATACATCGTGCAGGCAGACACGAGTGATGTAGCCATAGGGGCTGTCCTGTTACAGGAGAACGAAAACGGAGCACTACAGCCATGTGCATATACATCACAGAAGTTTACTACTACAGAGAGAGGCTGGGCGATATGGGAGAAGGAGGCCTTCGCCGTAAAATGGGCACTGAGTACTTGGAGGCATTTCCTGGAAGGGGCACAGGAGGTTTTTGAAGTGTGGACGGATCACCAAAATTTGGAAGCATTACAAAAACCAAGACGATTGTCTCCTAAGCAGGTCAGGTGGGCTCTGTACTTTAATCGATTTAATTTCAAATTAAAATATGTACCGAAAGGACAAAATTTCATGGTGGATGCCTTGTCCCAGTTGCCCCAATATCAATCAACACGAGATATTATTTTTTTATTTTTTTTTATTGATTTTTAAAAACAAACATAAACAAACAAAACATAAAACATAAAAACATAAAACATCTTTTTTGAAAGCAGCTTGATCCCGGGTTACATCTCTTCGTACAGACACAAATTCAAATTCATGTTCATTTTATATACCATTCCATATCTTATTACCAATCTACATTTTCTATATAGCTTCTCCCCTCTTTTAACTTTCTTAATTTTATTTTATTTATTTCATCTCAATTCAGATCATTATACTTATATTCTTTGTCTGTCCTGTTTCCAGCTGTCTATTATCTTTTCTCATTAAACAAAATTTCTCCTGTAATCACTGATTGGAGTATGACGCCTTTATATCTTTCCCCTAAATTTATAACACTTAGTATAATACATAACTTCCATTCGGATTCTGCTTAGTACATTCTAAAGTTACACACTATATTTTAAAAAGAGAAAAAATATAAATATATAATATAATTAAAACAACAATCCATACCAATTCAAATCTATTGTTAATATTAGTATTCATTTAGATCTTAAACATTTTACACATTACTTTTCAAATAAGTATCATACGTCTATGGGAACACTTATAAACTTTCCATAGTTACTTCCCCCCCCACTTCAGTCATATTTTAAAACATTATATCATTAAAATGTTCCCATTCCTTCCTAGTTCAATTCTCTCATTTATTTCATTTCATTTATTTTGTTCACAAAAGTTTCACTGAATTACACTGAGTATTTTATCCCACTTTTTAATCATATGTTGTTTCCAATTTTCTAACATTATTTCTAATACAAATATAACAATCTTACGTACCTTTGCAGAATCACTTTTTCAGTTAAATTTTTACCCATTATCTCTAAATAAGACCTGTTTCTTTACATCTTGCTCCACACCTTTGTAGCTTCTCTTCCCTTCCTTCCTCCCTTGCTTCTTCTCTCTGCCCTTTTTACCCC